GTGGGTGGAGGTGGTGGTGTTGGGGGGGAGGGCTCGGGGCTCTGCTAGTCTCTCTCAGGCTGGGTGGGGACGGTGGGCGGTGGCCGGCAGCCCAGCTCCATGCGTCTGAAGTCTTCACCTGTCAGCTCCAAAGAAGTGCTTCTTAAACTGGCATGGGCATACAGTTTTGGTGGAACTAGAGTTCTAATGCATAGCAGAAGAGAAACTAAATCTTTCTCCATGCCTTTTCTAATACAGACTGTCCTCTATAGGTTAGCATGTAGAACCATCAAATTATAGCCTACTGAGGTAGGAAGGGAGGGTATGGCTAAGATTGGATGACAAAGTAGGCGCAATCTTTTCTGTACTACTAGTTTTATACCAGGAGTCATTCATAATCATGAATAATAATTTGAAAGATTTATGCAAATATAACCCTTACCAAAGTTTAGCTCATAGTCTGGGAATTAATATAAAACAAAAATTTCTTTGTTAATAGAAATTCTTATCTTAAAGTTGTAATATTTATACAACAAAATTGCTGGAAGAAGGGCCAGGGATGTAGCTCAGTGACACCATGCCTGCCTAGCAAGAGCAAGGTACTGAGTTTGATTCTCAGTACTGAAGAAAAAAATGCTGGAAGAGAATACCTATGATCAGGATAAAGTAACTCATATTTCCAGAGGCTATTTCATGAATATACAGTTGTGTTAATGATTAATTTTTTCTTTTATAAGTACATTTATACTGTAACAATTATAGTCAAACTACAGTGTCAATAGATTTTGAAAGAACTCTTATGAAAATAATATAGTTATATCTGATAAATTTAAACTGTATAAACTTGAGACAAAGTTCCTGGTTTCTTTCTACTTAAAGTGAAGATAATGTTTTCAAATGTTATTAGAAATGATAGACATGTTCAAAATTAGATCAGAAATTTTAAGGAAGGAACTATTTTGAAAAAACAGTGCAGTATATTTACAGTAGTTGTTCAATGAGGTAGTAATGTTTAAATTTTAGACGATTCTATCTTTAAATCCAAAGTAGAGTCTGTTCACTTCTTTATATCATCAGGCTAAAATTAGTTTTATTTTAAGAAAAAGGTATAAAACACAAATATGTTGAATACTGTGAATCTATAAGCTATGTTAGAATCCATGGTGGACCTACTCTGTACTCTTTTTTTTTTTTTGGTACCAGGGATCGAACTCTAGTCCTTGCGCTTGTGAGGCAGGTGCCGGAACCACTGAGCTAAATCCCCGGCTACTCTGTACTCTTAAATTTGTAGCACTATCATTTTTAGATTACTCTCCCTATGACAATTATTCTAATCTATGATTGGTAAATTAACATATAGATCATCTTAAAACTCCTCTAAAATGCCTTCCCAGAGGCAATTTTTTAGAATGGATCTTTAGTCTTTTATTTTTTCCTGTGTCTATCTATATTTTGCATTAACCATGTAAGGAGTTTGCTTTTGTGTCTTTCCTCAATCAATGGCAGTATATTCCTGGATTTTATTTGTATAGTACATTTTAGCACATTATTTTTAGAATTCTATAAGTGTTATGCCTTGGTTTAGGAATATATTAGTTTTACTAAGAATTAAATGAAGCCATTGAAGGAATTACATTTTAAAAATTGTACTATTCTTTAATTCACATATTTAACCACAAATCAGAAATAATTTTTGTTTGTGAGGAGGAGAATGTAATGGTTATTTTTGACATCTTAAAATCTCATTTTTTTATTTGTTGTAGGTTTTATTGGGACTTAATAATGCTGATAATGATGGTTGGAAATCTGGTCATCATACCAGTTGGAATCACATTCTTTACAGAGCAAACAACGACACCATGGATTATTTTCAATGTGGCATCAGATACCGTTTTCCTATTGGACCTGATCATGAATTTTAGGACTGGGACTGTCAATGAAGACAGTTCTGAAATCATCCTGGACCCTAAAGTGATCAAGATGAATTATTTAAAAAGCTGGTTTGTGGTTGACTTCATCTCATCAATTCCAGTGGATTATATCTTTCTCATTGTAGAAAAAGGAATGGATTCAGAAGTTTACAAGACAGCCAGGGCACTTCGGATTGTGAGGTTTACAAAAATACTCAGTCTCTTGCGGTTACTACGACTTTCAAGGTTAATTAGATATATACATCAGTGGGAAGAGGTAAGTTACATCGTTTGTTTCTTAGAGCCAGTATTTTATTATGACTGAATATGAATGTGCTATGTGTAAGAAGTTTTATGAAATTTGATACACAGTTTTCTTGGGTACACCTTTGAGTACGTAAGTAATATATTTGTATCTCCAAAAGCAATGATCAAATACTAGAGTTCAATGAACTGAATAAAATTAGTGAATACAAAGCAACAGTCCTATGATAATTTAGTATATTTTAAATAAGTCCATTTTAATTAATATAATATTTTCCTAATTAATACAACTGTTCTTCTTTGGAGGATTCTTTTTGTCTAGTATGAATACATCAAGTACCATATTTGACAAAGATGTGTGGGGTCTGATTTTTAGTTTAGGACATCACTAACTCTAAAAGGCAGTATGGTATATGTTTCCTATAATATTAAATTCCAGTAAATTTATGTTTGTAGATAATACATTGTGATTATTTCCAAGTTGTGTATATAAAAATTTGGATTTTAGCGTAATGTGGTTGCTCATTTTTATACCCTGCCAAGAGTTACTTATTACAGTTTTTTCCTATTAGTTCATTTCATAATTCTTAAATCAGCGTATCCAGGAAGGAAATTACTACATAGAGAACACAAATAATACAATGAATAACTGATGTGAATTTCACCAGTCAGGCCTCTGTTTTGCTGAGTGTGGCACCTGCCATTCTCAGGTAATGGATAACATTGAGAAGAATTCAGCCAACTGGAGTTTGCAATGGTATGAATTAAATGTGCCATTATCGAGAAATGCATTTATGTCCCTAATTCCAAAGTCTGTACCTTAACTTGTCTGACTTTCTTTTTTTAAGTCTACCTTTTTGCATTAATTATAACCTGAATTTTATTGTCCGCATAAAAATGAGTCAAAAAAGTCTTCAGAGTGCTTAAACCAGCATTAATGAAAGCAGTGTACTAGCTGTGAATTGTTCCTCTCCTCCCTACAGAAATGCTTTTTAGCATTTTAAAGAAAAATTATGCCTTTAAACAAGTCATAAATGGAAGTTCTGTTTGCTTTCTGTGAGGCTGTAGCAATGTTTTGTGTGTGCTTGTCAATGACATTTTGGTTCACAGGATTTCAAGAAATGACATGCAATAATAAAACACTGCATAATGCACTGATGAAAAGGCATAAAAATGGATCGTTCTTAAAATATGGGTATGGAATACATTTAAAATCAAATGAAATACGTTTGAGAAATTGGATTCATCTTGTAATTTTTCTCTATATAGCACATTGCATCTACAATGGAATAAATATTCAATTCTCAAAACTTTTGTACCAGTTTGAGATTAATATCAAGCCAACATAGTTGATAATAATAGCTAATATTTATTGAGGGTGTATTATTTGTCAAGTAATATATTTGAATCTTTACATGGATTAGCTCACTGAATCTCCCTAACAACCCAATGAGGTAGATACAACTATTGTCATCACTATACAGGTAAGGATAATTAAACAGAATAAGATAACTTGTCCAGATTGACAGAGCTAGTAAGGAGTGGATCTGGGATTCTAACCGTGACTCCAGATTCAGTGTTGTAAATTTGCAAAATTATAGAGGTTCTCACACCAGCATGTATTCTTTTTATTATCAGTATCTTAACATTTCACCGTTTTATAGATTATGTAAGAAATTATAGAAAACTTTTCATGACTAAAACTGTGGTCCATGCAGATTTGAATAGCTACCCCTTAAAACAAGGCCAAAAATTTTAACAAATAGTCTGTGAGAGAAAAGTCGCTGATATAAATACCCAGTGAATTAAAAATACAGTAGGCAATGTGACTATTTTTAATGTTTTGTGGTTTTAACCCAGTTACCCATGAGAATGGCAGCAGGATGAACAGATGGCGTCCTATCAGATAAAATGGCAGGCCATGTGGTTGTAGAAGAGGACATTCCTTAACTCTGATGTCCTTTGTTCCTGGTGGGGGTCACAGGCACCTAGATTTGTGTAACATGAGAATGTTTTAAAAATGCCATTCAGAAGCATCGGCTCACTGCCGTAATCAGTGCAAAATGCAGTTTAATAAGTGCTTAACAGGCACTTGATAACCAAATGCATTCAGGACAGAGTTGTGAGTTGGAAAGATCTTTTTATAAATAAATGACCTTAGTAATAAATGAACCATAAGCTCATCTGGGTGAAGAATGTTTTCTTGATTATGTGATATAACCCATATAATATCATGTATCATGGTTATTTAATGCTCATCAGTAATACTGTTAAACAGGGAAGAAACGCATTCATGATTCAGAATTTAATACAAATTCATTATTCCACCCACGCAATTCAAACCATAATCACAAAGAAACTTGAATTGTTCCCAAACTGACAAATCTGTACCTGCTTTTTAAAATACCACCAGGATGTGTTTACAAGTAGAAATACAACAGATAAATCCGAAGAGGTAGCTCTGTGAGCTTTGGGAATAAGACTGCAGAGGAAGATATGCGTTCACCCACATGTCTTTGAGTTCTGAGTGTTTTAGTACCAAGCTGGCTGGTGCTAAATTCAGCAAATTTGGGGAAGTAATGTGTGAAGTCTGGAAGCTGCCACTGTTCTAAATGAATCATTCTCAAGGAAAACGTCTGCCTTCTATGGAAAACTGCTTCCATCTTCAACAATTAATGTTTTTTGTTTTTTTTTTAGATCTGGTCTGAATTAGTTTAACTGAAAAACAACAAGAAGCCCTGAAGCCAGATAAATATTATGAATGAAGTATAGAAAGTTTGATATTTAACCCCTCTGTTGTGTTATTACAAAGTTAAATGAAGTGGCTAATACAGGAGGAAATAGCTGATTTAGAAAACCAATGTATGAAATGTCATAATGTTAGGATGTCAGGATGGAAGTTTTTCTCATGGACCAATTATAAGATAAATGGCTTTAGGGTGAAAAAATAGAGCTCTCTGATACTAGACTGAAACTTTACATATATTGCCAACTGAAGTGAAAATCTGAGGCAGTTCAAATAAATCAGGACAGAAAATTCCATGTCTAGTAATCTCCATAAAATTGAGGTGAGCTTTTCCTATTCTTGTACTTCAGTTTAAAAAATAATTATCCTGATTCAGTGTTGTTGCTGTTATTATTGTTGTATTTCAAGTAGTGACAATGATCTCAGCCAGACTGCTATTTTGTAACCTATCACAAGGGGAATCAATTCTCTATGATCCTCCTAAAAGAGACATATGGTGAAGAAATCCTTGGAAATTAAATGGAATAGTATTAAGAATTTGTGACAGTCACAAGCCACTGAAGAGATAAAAAGTAGATTAAGAGCTTAGCAAATCGGAGATTTTTCGGTTCCTGAAAGTGAAGAGTTCTAGGAACCTCAAATGTCACAGCTGCTGACCTTAGTCATTTTGTAAAAGACAAGGAACGCTTGAAATTTTTAGAGAATATTAATTCAAAATGTAAATACCTCTTTGTAATGACTTTCTGTTTGTAGCACTTGATGTCATAAATGAATTATTGATTTTTCATGGATAATGTAAAAATATGATAACGTGCACAATTCTATAGTAACTATGGTTTTATAGTATTTGAAGTGTAATTAAAAATATGGTGAACATTTAAATTAAAAATTATTACAATAAAAGACACATTGCCATTAATCTCTCAAAATACTCCCCCTCACTTCAAACACACTTGTCCCATTCTTCTTGCCCCTTTTGAAAGCAGTTTTGGAAGTTCTCTTTCCTTAATGCCTTTAGTTGCACTTTCATGGCTAGATTTACATTTCATAGTCATTTTGACTTTGTGGGAAGAGCCAGAACTTGCATGGTGCAAGATCTGGTGGATAAGATGAATGCAGACATGCCAGTGCTTTTACAAGCCTGCTTTTCCATTAGACAGGAGCAACATTCACTGTATTTTTTGTTATCACACTTTGAAAAGAAACAGAAAGAGGACTTTGAGAACTGCTTCAGAAAGGAGCAAGAACAATGAGATAGGTATGTTTGAAGTGAAGGGAATATTTTGGGGTGGATTAATGGCAGTGTGTCTTTTAATATTTTTTTAAATTTAAAAATTCACTATTACAGTGTGACCACCTCTTGTATAAACATCCAATTTTACTTTTGATTTCTTATTTCCTGTCACCTTAGTCTCCCTTGTGTAGATTTTAGATATATTATAATTAACTAAAAATGTTTTGAGTCAGGAAGGAGAGACTGGTTTTGTTGTTCTTATGTCTATAGGAATTTCAGATGAATAATGTGCCTTGAACATTACGGTGCTGTTTTAGCAATCGATATTAGATTTTTATGGTGGTTGAGTGATAGGTTTATCTACAAATTATGTTTAACAACAGAGAACTAATGAGGAAAGTTAGCCCATGGAAAGCTAACACAGACTTTATTTTCTGTCTTTGGTTAATTTTAGCATTTTTATTGATTTATATTAGGAACCAACTCTTGCCATAAGTTGCCTATCTATAATTATTTAACTACTTTTATACTTTAGAAAAAAGAAAAAAATCTAAGATATACCATAAACAGGTTGCAGTGTTTTCCTAGGCCTGTCCTGGACTAGAATTTAGAGAGCTCCCTATTGCCTGTCACATCTAATCTGTGTCTCTCTGCAATGCCTGCACGATTCTGCAACACCCTGCTCCCCCATCTCGCTATTGTCATTGCACATTTGCACTGACAGCTCTTTCTGTTTGTTTGAGTTTTAAATTTTACAATGATCTTTGTGAAAATGATTCTTTCTGCTTCTATAATTGTGTGTGTGTGTGTGTTAACTTTAGAGTTGGAAAGCTGATTTTTTTCTAGAACTCCTTTTAAAAATCAGACTCAGTAACATCTCCAGAAAGTATTTTACATGGAACAACTCAGCTGTTATGGACAGTACCTGTACAGTGCAAAAGTCTACTGGCTTTGCATGCATTTGTTTACGATGCTGAGTTGTATGTATTTTCCTTTCCTTTTGCAGGACATAAACATGTATAGGAAAGAGTCA